TCTCAAATGAGAGGAGTCTCCATAGTGAAGCATCCACATCAAATTCCTCCTACCAGTTAGGAGAGGCCTAAAAGATGTTACTGCACACTCCTTGGGGGGAGTGACAATTGCAATGCTAGGAGAGATGCACTTATATGGTGTGCTGCAACACAGCCACACCTTTAACCATGAACTGGATAGTTACAATTATATCTCACTGAATTTGCAGCACCAACAGTGCTAAACAACCCCTTACAAATAGCTTGATGCCATTAGAACACAAGTCAGCAAAATAGTACTATTAAACATGAAGCACAACAATATGGAAGTAATATCAACATAAAACACTTCTCTCTCCTCCTCCATCAGTACAAAATTCCTCTTTCTGGATTTCGTATGGTATTGAATCATTAACATGAAAATATATTCAAATACTTCAGCATGACAGCTTTAGATTTAGCTCCAAATTTCCCCTTCAGAGTTCCCTTTTTTGTCTGCTCTTGATTATGGATTTCAGACTTATTTCCAATATTCTGTATTTTATCAGGTTCAACAGAGATTTTTCAATATATCACTAAGGTGATAGGTGCAGGTTGGAATTCCTACATTTTATTTGTTTAACAATTACTTTCTGCAATGAACAGCACACAGTAAAAATAGTTATAGCACTCGCAAGCACTATAACCGCTCTACTCTAAGACACAAACTAGAGTTAGAGAGATCAATAAATTCAGTAAAGTTGTAACATTGTAATGTTGTATTCAAAAGGGAAAGTGGGTTTTTCCCGGTGTCTTAGCCAACAATCCACTAGATCATTGAATAACACAATTCTAACCTAGAGGATACCAAGTTCAACATAGATGTAAGTACTGGGATTGTTTTTTTGCAGTGGAAAGAAGCTGTTTCTATTAAATACATATTGTGGAGTCCTGTAGCTCAGTGGTTAGAGCACTCGCCTTGCAAGCCAGAGACTTGGGTTTGATTCCCGGCAGGGTGAAACCTTGAGCCAGTTTCCTTACTCCACATGCCTGATAATAATCCCTCAAGAAAAAACAAAAAAACAAAACAATAAAATTGGTCACTGTTTGTGGGACACTGCTGTGCGCAATTGGCTGCTGCATTTCGCCCGCAAATATACAGTCAATCCATTTTACAATATATTCTGTGAAGCACTTTGAGATGTCTCTTTGACCGAGCCTTCAGCTCCCCTCTCGACTCTCTTTCCCCTCCTCGCTCCCTCCCTTCCCTCCCCTCACCCTGACCATTTCCCCCCTCCTCGCTCCCCTCCCTTCCCTCCCCTCACCCTGACCATTTCTCCCTGCTCGGGTCCTGACCCAACTGTGTAGCGCCTTAGGACGTCCTCCTGACGTGAAAGGCGCTTTATAAATGGAATTTTGTTGTTGTTGTAGAAGACGTGAAAAGCGCTATATCAAATGCAAGGATTATTATTGTTATTATTATAATAACATTGTGTCATAAATAGAATGAATTGAAAACCAGGTTGATTTAGGATTCCGAGATCTTTGAACCTAATTTAATATTAAAAATGTCTGATTAACGTCTCCCTTCACAACTTCTATGAATCCCTCCAATTCAGCTTCTGCCCACAATACCAAGACCGCATTTTGTTTTTGGTTAGCTGGATGTCTAACAAATGCAGAAACCCATCACCAGGCTTAAGAATATCCAAACCAATCTGAGATTTCCATTCATCCCACCTATACATCAAAATCCCAGAGATAGATTGTTGGAATGGAATGCACACTCTCTCCCTGAAGGGATGCATCCTGCTTACCTAATTCTGGAAAGTATTAGGCACAGGTTGGCAAGAGCCAAGGCTGAGGGACCACAGAGTGTGCGTTGGAATCTAACCAGCTGAAACCACATAGCTTGCCATTGATATTGCTGTCCAGGAAGTTTTCCCACTGCGTTTCCAACTAGGTCCACCCTACCCATTAGGGCTTTGGCTTGCAGGGTTAACAGTAGATGAGTGGGATGACTCCCTGGCCCCAAAGGAGACAGGCAGTCAAAGTCATCAACAAGATTCTCTCCATGATAAGGACTTCCTTTGTCTCCTTATCCTCCTCAATTTCTCTGCCACCTTTAATTCCAATGACCATTCCCTCCCTCTTCATCATTCTCATCCCTGCTCTCCTTCCCTTGCTCTGTCCTCTCTTGGTTTTATTCTTACTTACCCCAGTCTCTTCACGTTGTCTCTTCCAATGATGTTTCCCCCTACCACTGCTCAAGTCATATGTGGCATTCCTCAGGGCTCTATTACAGGATCACAAGTTCATACATTTGGATGAAGACGGATCTTCAGCTCATCTGATCTCATCCCTCCAGAATACCCACCCTACTATCCTCCGTCAGGGAAACCTGGCTGTATGGGAAATCAGGAGGTTTCCCCAGTGCACCTATGATTGGCGTCTGATACTTACCCCAGAGCCCCACATCCAGGTGAGTGACAGCTTGGACCAACTATCATTGTTAGAGCCCGCCCTCCTTGATGAGTGACAGCTATGATAGCCAATTACCATTCAGATCCTGCCCTTTTTCTGTATTGGTTTACCCTAAAGTATTCTTGGTTTACATTTTGAATCCTATTTACCATGTTATACACCTCTATGAGGTCCTCCCTCAGTCATCTTTTCACAAGACTGAAGCGCCCTGGCTTGTCTAATCGTTGCTCAGCTCATTCCCCTCCTCAGCTGTTGGAATCTAATTTGCGATATTTGTTATTTGGATTTGTTACATTAATTGAAATTTCTGCTTTGTGAAAACAGATACTGGATTGCTGTTGAATGTTTACCATCTACCTGAACAGACAGGAACTTGGTTGCTTCCAAAGGATGGCACCTCTGACAATGCCACTTTCCCAAACACTGCATTAGATTAGCAGCCGAGAGTGTGAGTTCATAGTCTATACATGGAGCTTGAACCTGCAATCATCTGACTCAGAGGGAAGTGTGCGACCAACTGAGAGGCTGACACATTGCGAAATTCAAAACAAAAATTGCAGTTGATGAATTGTGGATTCCAAGTTGCGAAACAGGCTATGTTTAATAACCATACCAGGCTGTGTTTAATACCAGTGCCAGGCTATGTTTAATACCAGTGCCAGGCTGTGTTTAATACCAGTGCCAGGCGGTGTTTATACCAGTGCCCGGGGGTGTTTATACCAGTGCCCGGCGGTGTTTATACCAGTGCCCGGCGGTGTTGATACCAGTGCGAGGCTGTGTTGATACCAGTGCCCGGCGGTGTTTATACCAGTGCCAGGCGGTGTTTAATACCAGTGCCAGGCTGTGTTTATACCAGTGCCCGGGGGTGTTTATACCAGTGCCAGGCTGTGTTTATACCAGTGCCCGGCGGTGTTTATACCAGTGCCAGGCGGTGTTTATACCAGTGCCAGGCTGTGTTTAATACCAGTGCCAGGCTGTGTTTAATACCAGTGCCAGGCTGTGTTTATACCAGTGCCAGGCGGTGTTTATACCAGTGCCAGGCTGTGTTTATACCAGTGCCAGGCGGTGTTTATACCAGTGCCAGGCGGTGTTTATACCAGTGCCAGGCGGTGTTTATACCAGTGCCAGGCTGTGTTTATACCAGTGCCAGGCGGTGTTTATACCAGTGCCAGGCTGTGTTTATACCAGTGCCAGGCTGTGTTTATACCAGTGCCAGGCGGTGTTTATACCAGTGCCAGGGTGTGTTTATACCAGTGCCCGGCGGTGTTTATACCAGTGCCAGGCGGTGTTTATACCAGTGCCCGGCGGTGTTTATACCAGTGCCAGGCGGTGTTTATACCAGTGCCAGGCGGTGTTTATACCAGTGCCAGGCGGTGTTTATACCAGTGCCAGGCGGTGTTTATACCAGTGCCAGGCTGTGTTTATACCAGTGCCAGGCGGTGTTTATACCAGTGCCAGGCGGTGTTTATACCAGTGCCAGGCGGTGTTTATACGAGTGCCAGGCGTTGTTTATACCAGTGCCAGGCGTTGTTTATACCAGTGCCAGGCGGTGTTTATACCAGTGCCAGGCGGTGTTTATACCAGTGCCCGGCGGTGTTTATACCAGTGCCAGGCGGTGTTTATACCAGTGCCAGGCGGTGTTTATACCAGTGCCCGGCGGTGTTTATACCAGTGCCCGGCGGTGTTTATACCAGTGCCCGGCGGTGTTTATACCAGTGCCCGGCGGTGTTTATACCAGTGCCAGGCGGTGTTAATAAGGTGGTGTTGGTGGGGCAGTGGTTTGGGGGCTCAGTGCTAACCCACTGCCTCACAAAGCTGAGCCGAGCACAGATTATGGCTCAAATCCCAGCGAGTCTCCATCTTTGTGGATCATTGCAGAGAGAGAGAGAGTGAGAGCAGAGGGGGGGCTGTAGCCGCCCAGTCAGGCAGTCAGTCACTGTCTGTGTCTGTGTCTCCTCTGTCCTGTTTGCTGTTGGTTACATTTATTTATTGGAAGACAATATCCTCATTTTTGAATCTCTTTTTTTTTGCAAAAGAAAGTGGAGGGAGACCTGGATCTGTGTGTGTGTGTGTGTGTGTGTGTCCCCCACACCTGGTTTACTGAGAGACGTGGGGAGTGGGGCATCACATCTCATCACCTCTAAATATAGCAGCAGCTGAGTGTGTGGGTGAGTGTGAGTGAGTGTGTGAGTGAGTGAGTGGGTGAGTGTGTGAGTGAGTGGTGTGTGAGTGAGTGGGTGAGTGTGTGAGTGAGTGGTGTGTGAGTGAGTGGGTGTGTGAGTGAGTGAGTGGGTGTGTGAGTGTGAGTGAGTGAGTGTGTGAGTGAGTGAGTGTGTGAGTGAGTGAGTGGGTGAGTGAGTGAGTGGGTGTGTGAATGAGTAAGTGTGTGAGTGAGTGAGTGCTGTGGGATCAGCGCTGGAGCCAGAAACACACACACACGCAGAGAGAGAGAGAGAGAGAGAGGCGTCTTTTCCCATCACAACCATCAAAACCAACCCTTCATCCCACTCTCCCCTCCTCCCTCTCCCTCTCCTCCTCCCTCTCCCTCTCCTCCTCCCTCTCCCTCTCCTCCTCCCTCTCCCTCTCCTCTCCATTCCCAGGATCTCTCTGTCGAAATGAAAGCCAAATAACCCAACTCGGTTTGTTTTGGACAGCAGCCTCTTGGGGTTGTGTTGTGTGTGTGTTGTGGTGTGTGTGTGTTGTGTGTTGCTGTGTGTGTGGTTTTTTTTGGTCTGGCTTGTGACTGAGATCCTGCCACAGAGAGAAGACAGAGACAGAGGGAGTACAGAAGGAGAGAGAGAGAAGGAGAGAGAAGAGAGCAGAGATGATCCGCAGCCTGAGAGCGGTGTTAATCCTTGTGGCTTCGCTCCTTATAGAGGTAAGTGAAGCCGCAATGTGAAGCACAAACACACACACACACACACACAGAGGGAAGACACATAGACACACACAACACAACCAGTTACTGGAGAGCAGTGTTATTGAGCTGCGTCCAAGCTCATTTTGTTTCATTGCTTTGTAATCGTATTATAATACTAATCCTTGCGTTTGATATAGCGCCTTATCGCGTCGTCGAGACGTTTCAAAGCGCTCCGCGGAATACGCTGTGAAGCGGTGGACTGACTGTATTTTGTGGGCGAAATTTTATATTACCAGTTAGTTCCAGTTGTTTCTGTAGCGATTGCATAAACTAAGACATTATTCCTGTGAATAATTTGGGTGTTGTAATCTGATCTGCTTTGGGGGGGAAGTGTGTTACTTCCTTCTTCCACATTAATTTCTCCTTCTCAATTGTACATATATTCTTAACCTCCTCATATTTCGACCGTTGACCCAGTGTGGGTGCAATGGACTTCCATTTTTACCAAACTGCTCTTGGCTTAAAATGGGCTAAGTACTGTATATGCTGTTTTTGTATTTTGCCTGTTACAGATCCAGCCCCTAATATGCGCAGCTATTATCTAATTTCTCCCCACTTCCATAAATATCCACTTTATTTGCCACTTTAAAAAAGGACATTTGACACCTGGATAAGAATCAGTTGGATCAAACATTCCTGGATATGACAAGAAGCAGAGCTGTGTATGTGACGGTGTCACAGTTAACACCATTCTTTAATTATGTAACCTGTTCTGTCTGATGCTGTATTTTTTTAACCAAAAGAAAGGCACGTTACTCTGGTGGCTAAACATGCGCAACCTAGAGCAATTTTCAGAAGGTTCCTTTCAGTACTCTCCATTGCCTTTCTTTAACCTAAAGAACTTGTTGAATGTTATAGATGGTGTTCAGATCACCCCAATCTTTAACCCTTTAATTAGTAGGCCAAGCACATTTTGTTATAGAAATCAAAACGTATCTCTTTGACCACTCTTTCGGTCATCTTTCCCCACAGCTTCCACCCCCAATTTCGGTGTCCAGCCAGTGGTGTCCAGTGCTTTGAGACGTCCTGGCGATGATAAAGGCGCTATACTGTATTAATGTAAATTATGTTGTACTGCATTGTAGCTTCCTAGCTCTTTTACAGATTGAGTCTAAATATGTCTAACTATTATTCCATCTTGAGGTTTACCTTCCCATCTCCACAAATCTCCAGCAAATCTCCATTTATGCAAGCTCTAAATGATTGAAACGGACTAAAAGAATACTCAAGGATAGAAAGAAGCTGGATTTTTATAGCTTTTGTACTATCAAAGTAGCTACTGTCTTGTGTTGAATATTTTTTCTAGTTCCTGTTCATATGGGCTGGAGGCAGGAAGCAGCTGTAATACCCAAGCCAAGCTTCACATTGGGAGTGGGGGGGACTGTGCCTAACAAATGTACTGGATTTTGTTGAGGAAATTACAGACATCGTGGATGGATAATATTTACCAGGATTTTAGGAAGACTTTGATACTGTTGCACGTAGTGAACTATTGATATAGTTCAAGCTCAATTGAACTGTATTCAGTTCAATTGAGCTTGAAGGTGCAAAGGTGCAAAGCATTAAAAGAAAGCAAGGGTTGAGGCACTTGGAAAGATATCTAGTTGGGTGTCAGTTGTTTGTAGAGATTGTGATTATTTTTTAAATCATGTAAAAAGATGCTCAGGTTTGTAGATAACAACAAATTGGGAGCAGTAGCAGATGATTAAAATTAATTATATAATTAATAATAATCTTTGAATATTCCTCTCACATCGAGAGGATGTCTCAAAGTGCTTCAAAGGACGTACTGTAAAGTGAAGTGACTGTATGCTGCAGACGAATGTGGCAGTTAATTAGCATGTAACAATATCTTACAAACAGCCAATGTATACATATTTAGATGGTCATGGAGAAGCTGGGCAAATAGGTGTCAGATGTAGTTAACAGGGATAAAAGTAAATTTATAAGATTTGGAAGACGAATATGCTTTGTAGAATGCTAAATGAAAATTGCTTGAGTTATCAGAACAGTAGAGATCTTGGTGTTGGTAGACAGCTCATTACAACCATCACTATGGTTGTAATTACAATTACACTAGTGGTTAAAAATGCAAGCAAAAAGTAGCTAAGGGTTTAACAAATAACAATATTTTAAAATTACATGTGATTTTAGTGAAACTAGATTTGGAGTACAGCAATGCAATAGTTTCTCTACATGAAAAGAATATTCAGTTTGAGTGACTGTAGCAGAGGAAGACTCCACTATTTCAGAATTCAGCAGTCAGGAGGATGAGGAAAGATTGTTTATCGAAGGCCAAAATTCTCCTAGAAAATTGTATAGAACTATTTGAGATTCTAAAGGATCTAAATCATTAGGATTCTAAATAAATATAATACTAATAATCCTTGCAATTGATATAGCAGATTTCATGTCTGGAAGATGTCTGAAAGTCCATCACAAGATTTACTGTAGAGCGTAGTGAGATTGTACGTTGTAGGCAAACACTGCAGTCAATTTACACACAGCAAAGTCGCACAAACAGCCATGAAGTGAACGACCATTTTTATTTAGGGAGTTCTTTTCCAGCACACTAGAAGAAATGCCTTCTCTTTTTGAGTAGTGACATCCAATCTTTAATGTTCACTTGAACCGGCAAACAGAACCTTGGTTTAATAATTCATCTGAACGATGCCACCTCCAACAATGGAAGGTTTCCCTAGTGCAGTATTGAACTGTGTGTTCAAAGTCCTAACATGGGAAATGAACCCACAACCTTCTGACTTGGATGCGAGAGTGCTTCCAACTGAGTCGGGCTGACATCTAAGGCTATGTGTAAAATAAGTGGGGCATATTATCAAATTAAGAACACAGATATAGAAAATACTGTGTTTTCTTTAGTAAATGGACGGTAAGTATATGGAACAAACTACTAACACAGAGGTTTTCCAAAAGGAACTGAACCCTAGTACACACGGTGCAGAAACATATGTAAAAATCATAACAGCAATTCAATTATGGCTATTTGTGGGACATTGTGCGTAAATTGCATCACATCATTTTATAGTATATCTTGTGAAGGGTTTAAGATGTCTTGCTGATGTGATAAGGTACTATATCTAATGTAATATTATATATTATGTAAAAGGAATTGAATAAATATTAATCCTGGCAGATCAGTGAGAGGGGATAGGAGTGTCAGAGACCTGGTGGATGTATGACATTCCAGTAGCCAAGTTAGGATCTGTTGAAAATTCTTATTGGCACTGTTAGGATGCCAATGTCAATTGATGAAAAACTGGTGCTGATCCAAAAAAGACACTGTTCTCGGAGAGAGACAAGGGGACAAACGTTGCAGGAGTCAAGGATGCAAGGGACATAAATAATAATAATAATTCTTACATTTGATAATGCAACTTTCATGTCATTTGAGATGTTTCAAATCGCTTCACAGGATGTACTGTGGATTGATTGTATTTTGGGGGCAAAATGTGGCAGTCTGTTATGCACAGCAGGAGCCAGGGAGTGAGTGACCAAATTTATTTGAGGGATTCTTGCCAGGAAACCAGGAGAAACTTCCCTTGCAAAGCAAAGCTTTATCTGGAGTTTGTCTAGAATTGTAGTACCCTGTGGAGGATGTGAAGGCAATTGCTAGAGCTCAGGGAACACAAAATCACTGGAGCGATTCGGATGAAGAAGGACCTTTGATTAATCTGATCTCATTCTTCCAAAGCATCATCTCTACCATCCTCCCATCACAGCATCAAGCTATTTTCAAAAAGAGTCCAACATATTGGCCTCAACCACCCTTCCTGGTAACCTGTTTCATTTGTTAATTGCCCGCTGGCTAAACAAATATTTTTGGGTGTCTGTCCTGAAATTTCACCCCTTATGGCCCTAAACCTGGGACTTCTTGTTCTGCTCTCTTGGTGAAAGTATTATTCTAGGTTTATTTTCTCAATCTCATTTAAAATCTTGTGTACCACTCAAAAGTCCTAAGGTCCCCACTGAGACTCCTACTTTCATGACTGAAGAACCCCAGCTTGTTTAATCATTGATCATAAGCTCATTCCTCTAACACTGGGTATGATCCTCATTGCTAGACAGCCCCTTTATGCTGCAGTGACCAGAACTGTAGGTGCAGGTCTCTAGAAGCTGACTGACTAGAGCTTGAGTAGGACTTCTGGGGATCAGAAATCAAATGATTTAGCAATATAGCCTAGCTTTCTGTTTGCGTTGTTTATTGCTGCCTCACACTGTTTTGACATGTTGAGTTCCAACCCATCCAAGGAGTACTTGTGCCTCCGATTGTTACTTCATACACTGAGAATAAAATACTTGGGGGAGAGCGATGGCTCCCCTTCACAATAAAAAATCCAGCTTTTGTGTGTAAATGTGTTAACATAGAATAAGAAGGAAAAGCACCATGTCACACACTAGTGTGTCACAGTAATAGTTTAATCAGACTGCAGGCAGGAAAATCGTTTTAATTGACTTTTTCACGGTGGTGGTAATGTCTAATAGAACTGACAGCTTATTTTAACAAGAGTGCTTTAATGGAAATCTGATGTGCCCTCTTTCCTCATTGAGTTAGCTGGTCTTGGACAAGGCAGCGGTTGGATGCTTGTAAGAACAGCAAAAAGAGAAGAGGATTTTTTGTACCCAGAGAGATGTTTGGATATGGAATGCCCTGCCAAGTGGGAAGATGGAGGCTGGGTTCATTGTAGCTTTCGAGAGGGAAGTAGTCATATGAAAGAGAGGGACTTGAAGCAATAATAATAATAATAATAATAATCATCATCATCATCATCATCTCTGCATTTGGTTTAGCACCTTATCACATTGTTGAGACATCTCAAAGCGCTTCACACAGAATATACTGTGAAGTGGATTGACTGTATATTTTGTGGGCAAATATGGGATAAAACAATGAACGGTGCAGACTCAATGGACTGAATAGCCTTCTTCTTGGTTGTAGA